TGTACATCAGAAAATGCGCCTTGAGGCATGGAACATATGTACCAAATATGCCAAAGATGTCTACAAAATTATCTCAGTTATTATTAAAAAACTGATTATTTTTGAAAACTTTGCCACCCTGTATCTCAAAAGTTAAGGCGTTTAGGACATACGTCCATTGGAAGTTGTTTTCTTAAAATGGGTCTAAGAATTACCTCCTTAAATATTAGCATGTGTTTGAGGAACACCCTGTATATTGTGTATATGTATGCGTATATGTATTGTGTATGCATGTGTATATGTGTACCTATATATAGTTTGTTTTTCTTTTTTTTGGCCTAAGATGAAAAACAGATGTTGCACCTTTCGATGCAAATAACTGATCTTCAACCTTTTCCGTTTCAGTAAATGTCCACATTTATTTATTGTATCATTTTGGGAATAAAGACCTATTACTATTATTATTATTATCTGGGCGCAGGAAGTATTTGATAAATCTGTTATTTCTTTGAGCTTCGTTTGCGATGTGGGTCTTTACAATAATTTTCAACAATTTTTCAGGGCCGGATCTCCACCCAGTAGTAGAAGCTCATGGTTTCAAGGGTGAAATCAGGCTAATTCCTAAAGCAGAAACTCCAATAACCTCTTTAGAGAGACTATGGGCGTATCTCACAGTGAAACAAAAGTTGAAACAACGCGAAACCGCTGAAAACAAAACCCAGTTGACTAAAGAAGCTCTTGACCTGGCTCTGAAATATTCATTCGTTACTGAAGTCAGTTCGTTGGTTGTAGTTAAGCCTAATGAAACAGCAGCAGTTGATACTGAGGATGCTTCAGGTGAGTATTTATTGCCGTGTGCATTTATTCGGCTGAAGAGATATAGTAGGTATCCTGTTTTCGGAGAAAAAAAGATACAGTATGCAAAATATAGTAAACGACTGATCATTCTGAAGGAATGTTTGTTCGAAGGTGGTGAATTTCATTAGTTCGGACTTCCATTGTCAAATATGATATAAATTGATTTGAGATCCCTCAAAGAATCTATAAAGAATCAAAAAGATCAGCTGAAAAATTACAATTATATTAATCAAAGGAAACTGAGATTACAGTGAGATAAAATACAAGCAACAATGAAAAAAATTGAACTCTTAACACGACGTTTCGATTGTTAGTATCCATAATCGTCTTCGGGTGACAACTGATCTTCCTCCGACATCTGACTATTTATAGGTCATTCGAGAACTTTCACCTATTCCCTCATCCCTCTCTTAGCTTCACCGATTTTAGCGGGAGCAGACCGTTTGGCGAGAGTTGGCCGTGTTCCGCTTGATTATAGGTTTCCATATGTTGCGTATATCTACGCTACCTTGGCTAAATGCGTTGTTGGACATCATATATGCAGCTTCTTTGAATTTTCTCCTAAACCAGTGTTTCTCCTTATGGATGAATTTAGCTTGAGACCACTTGATGTTATGTGTGTGTGTTTCTTGTGCTCGGCAATGCGAACTTTCAATGGCCTCTTAGTTTCACCCATGTATGATTCTCCGCACTCGCAGGGTATCCGCTAAATGCAATTCTTGGAATCGCAGTCCGCGTTTGGTGACCTGGTTTTCGTGAGGCTGTTCCCAGATCTGAAGTAGGTTCTGATGTTATACTTGGACCCAATTCTTCCTATCTTTTCCAACAATCCTCTGATGTAGGGAAGTACATGTACTGGTTGTGGCGGCTTCTCTTCCTTGTGAGGCTTTTGCTGTCTTCTGACCAAAGTCTGTTCCACTATCACTTTGGAGTCACCATTCCGTTGAAGGAATGGTTACTCCTAGTTCCTTTATATAACAGAGGCCAAAAGCACGGTCTACTAGGGTCTTGATGATTCCTCTCTTAATCAATTAATGGTGGTTGGATTCATGGTTCAGATACTGTTCCATGTGAGTGAGTTTTCGGTATACAGTCGGTCCTCACTAATACGTCTAAGAATGGAAATTCGTTGTGGACTTCCTTCCCTGTTGTGAAAGTCATTTGGTTAAGATGTCACTTCTTCATCCCTTAGATATATTGTTATTCCATATCCTGGAATAATGGACAATTGAAAATGAATTCGAATTGTGTTGTAGGAAATTTACGAAAATCATTTCATGAAAAAATGTTCACGTCATTGAGCATACATAAACTTTATAAAAAGTATGTTTACTAAAGAAAATCAAATACTTCCCCACTAAGAATAGGTTTCTGACAGTATAAGGATTGATAATATTCAAAATGACGTAGTTGATGGTATTTTGATCGATATTGCCCGCTGGTCGATATTAAACCAAATTCCCCTAGTCGGATAATTTTTTCGGTGTTGAGTCTCATACACTTATGTTGACGATAATCAAACTGAAAGAAATATTGATTTCATTATTTTTTCAGTCTCCAATCCAGAACGTCCAGTTTTCCATTCATTTGGAGGTGAGTAGATATACAGTTCTATTGCTTCTTCATCTCAGTCAGACACAACGTCCCAAAATCGGTTTCAATTCAACATTTACTGGAAAAACAAATGTATCAATAACTCTTCGAAACGATGGGAAAAACTGGTTATCGTGAAAAACAAGTTATATCATTTTCACGTTTACACATCCAGCACAAGTACACTCAGGACTGAAACACTATTTTCGACGAGTGTTTCGTTGATCAAACTGGAGTTATTATGAGTTGAAGTATACTGGTTTTCAGAATTTAACCAAGCCTTTTCAAAATTTTTGACATTAATCAGCTGTTCCCCCCGTCATATCACAACTCACAGAAGTCATAAATTATGCTTGGTGTAGAGTCCAGAAGAAAAAACTACCCGTTTAACTCCGGTTCTCTCAGTTCAATGGAAATGGTCAAACGAGTATCTACTGTTCGTACATCGATTACTGCAAACCCCAACAACAATATTACTGGAGTTTTTTCCCAACATCAAATCGTTATTTTTAACACCTCGACACGTGTTTCGATCACCAAGTGATCATCTTCAAAGAGGAAGATTAAAACTAGAAACTAATGCGAGCTAACTCTATTTATGCTATATAGGTATCCCATCCAGGTAAACCATCCAGGCATGTATTAAGCAGTAAACCCAACAACATGATTTTATTTCAACAAGCTATTTAGTATGCTCTTTGGTATAGGTCCGTCATCGTTATTCATGATATTATTGTGTTAACTTATTTCTACACTCTCATAGGCATCTAGTTACCTGTTGTTGTTAATTTGTCTAACTAATCTTAATGAACTGAAGTCTATGGAATGGTTTTGTTGCAAAATATGATGGGTGACTGCTGATTTTTCAGGTCTTCCATATTTTAAGTGTACTATGTGTTCCTTATCTTACTTCAATAGATCCTTTGTCTGTCCATAATATTTTGCATCGCAGAAATTACATTAAATTTCGTAAATTCCAGACTTTTCCGAATTCTTGTTTTAATCTTTCTCTTTGAAGATGATCACTTGGTGATCGAAACACGTGTCGAGGTGTTAAAAGTAACGATTTGGTGTTGGGAAAAACCTCCAGTTATATCCATTACTACACCAAAGGTTTCAGTGCATCATAAGCCCAACAACAATACGATTTATCGGCAAAATTTTTTTACTTTTAATTGACGTTAGTACATTGGCAAATTGACAACTCTTTTGACAGAAACAGTATTTTCAATATGAAAAAATATTACAGGGTGGTTTTGTACAAAACTCAAAATAGATCTCTCAACACTTTCGTAACACATGCTAAAGATTACCAGGGTATCGTCTTTCTACATGAAATTGATCGATCGTCCACATAGCAAACGATTTAACGATTAGAATTAACAACCGATGTTAACATAACCGACCACCGTCCCACTGTTCATAGTGTCAACAATTTTGAAAAATGTTTTGTCATTCTGTTGTCATTTCATGAGTTCGGACTTCCGTTGTCTGATATGATATAAATTTATTCGAAATACCTGAAAGAATCTGTAAAAAAATCAACAAAGATTAGCTGAAAAATAACAATTATATCGAGTAAAAAAAACTGGAACTACAATGAAACAAAATACAAGCAACAACCTAAAAATCAAAAAAATTGATCACGAGATGAAAATTGAAAAATCAATAACAAGAAATGAAAATTAAAAATTAAAAGATTCCAAACCAAGTTACTTCACCACGTTTGGATTGTTAGTATCCACAATCGTCTGCGGGTGATAACTGGACTTATTTCTCTGAGATCTGACTTTTTATAGGTCATTCGAGTGCTTTCACCTATCCCCTCTTTCCTCTCTCCACTTCATCGGTTTTAGCGAAAGATGACTTCCTTCTCCATTGTGAAAGCGATGAAAGAACTTACGTTGTTGATGTGCTTCAGGAAGGTGTCTACTTCTGCATTCCCATGGTTCCATATTATGAAGGTATCTTCCACATATCTCAATCAAACTCGGGACAATGGAGAAGAAAGTTCACAATGAATCGCCATTCTCAGACATATTGGTGAAGAGGACCGACACGAAATGAGAAACATCTGTTTATCGAAAACCCACCCACACAAGACAGTATCCAACCACCATCAATCGACTAAGAGAGGAATCATCAAGACTCTACTAGACTGTACTTTCGGGCTCTGTAATATAAGGGAAGGTCAACGGAATGGTTACTTCAAAGTGGTACAGGCTTTAGCTAGAAGACAGCAAGAGCTCCACAAGGAAGAGGAGCCGCCACAACCAGTACTTGTACTTCCCTATATCAGAAAGTTGTCGAAAAGGATAAGAAGGATTGGACCCAAGTATAACATCAGGATCTATTTCTGATCTGGAATACTATCCGTAGCAGCCTCACATAAACCAGGCCACCAAACGCGGACTGCGATTCCAAGAATTGCATTTACCAGATACCCTGCGAGTGCGGAGAATCATACATCGGTGAAACTAAGAGGCCATTGAAAGTTCGCATTGCCGAGCATAAGATACAGTGAAGAACTCATCAACAAAACATTAAGTTGTAGTCATCCACAGGGAAGAACACTAGTTTCAAAGAAGCCGCATATATGTTGTCTAACGATGCATTTAGTCAAGCTAGCGTAGAGATACGCAACATATGGAAAACCTCTGATCAAGCGGAACACAACCAACTCCCGCTAAACGGGCAGCTTCCGCTAAAACCGATGCAGCGGGGAGAGAGAAGAGGGGATAGGTGAAAGCACTCGAATGACCTATAAATAGTCAGATCTTTTGCGTATCTCTACGCTAGCTGTGCTAATTACATTGTTGGACAACATGTATGCGGCTTCTTTGAATTTCTTCCTAAACCAGTGTTCCTCCTAGTGTATGATCTCGGCTTGGGGCCACTTGATATCATGTTGATGGGTCCAAACATGCTCTGCTATTCTTGATTTGTTGGTTCACCCCCGTTGTGTGTGTATGTGTGTGCGTGTGCGTGTTTCTTGTGCTCGACAATGCGGACTTTCAGTGACCTCCCACTTAGTATCGGTCCTCTTCACAAATACGTCTAAAAATGGCAATTGAGCTTTCTTCTCCATTGCCACGAGTCTGGTTAATATACGTGGACGACACCTTCATAATATGGAACCATGGGAATGCAGAACCACATACCTTCCTAAAGCGCACCAACAACGTAAGTCCTTTCATCACTTTCGCAATAGAGAAGGAAGTCAGCTTCCCCTACAACCGATGAAGCGGAGAGAGGGAAGAGGGGATAGGTGAAAGCACTCGAATGACCTATAAATAGTCAAATCTCGGAGGAATGAGTCCAGTTATCACCCGAAGAAGATTGTAAATATTAACAGTCGAAACGTCGTGAAGTAACTTGGTTTAGAATCTTTTAATTTTCAATTTCAATTTCTTGTTAATTATTTTTCAATTTTCATCTCGTGTTAATAGTTTGATTTTTTTGATATTTTGGTTGTTGCTTGTATTTTATTTCACTGTAATTTCAATTTTTTTTTGGTTCATATATTATTTTTCAGCTGATCTTTATAAAATTTTTCACAGATTTTTTCATCAGGTATTTCAAATCAATTTATATCATACTAGACAATGGAAGTCCAAACTAATGAAATGCACCACGAAACATTGTCAACTACCTTCAAACAAATTCTGTTGTCACTTCTCCGAAACAGCATGCACTGAGTCTGGACTTTTTAGTTTTTCGCTTGTTCATTAAATCGAGTTTCAATATTTCGTTAAGGCTGACCAACACACTTTCTGTCAGATGTTTCACACTTCATTCCTTAGATATTTCTATTCTCAGTCATCATCCAAGGGTAATCTAACGCTTGTTGAGGTCAACTATCAATTTCAGATTTGATTTTGTTAATTTTTTTGTAAATTTGATATGTGAACTCATTTCATAGTGTATCTTGGTTCATATATGAAAACAATGAATTTCAAAGTGTCTAAACTCACGAAGAACTTCTCCAATTTATAGTTTCTAATTGAAATGTGGACTGTTTTCATCCATTGAGGGGAACGTAAGAGTATAAAATTCTGATATGGTTTATTGCCTGATATGTTGAAAGTGACAGGAGTATATCTGATAGAACTTGCATTCGTCCTACAAACATCAAGTTATGGAGGGTGTAACTGAATAAGTGTAAAACATTCAGGGAGGTGATTCCTCATCGAAAAAAAGATAGGATCTTTCATATAAAGAAACTTCATTGGAGCATCCCTTGTTAAGATACAGCCTCTTAAAGGGGGTACATAAAATTTGTATAACAATTTTTTTCACAAGCACTGAAAAAGTTACAATGTTGAAATTAACCTGACGTTTTGCAATATTAAAAAGACACTTGGCCAGTAATTTATTTGGATTACCCCATGGTTGTAAGGGGTGGAAAACGCAAACCCTAAAATGTATTTCCAATGTAACTTTTTGTCTTATTATTTGTTTACCATTTGAAAATTTATTTCCGATAACCTGTTTCATTCTAAACAAAAAATGTCTCCTGGATTTTTTGCCCAAAATAAACCAGTTCTCAGCAAAAAATTATTTTACGAATAACTACAGAGATACATCGTCATAAATGCGAACTGGATTTATTGTTATTTTGTAATTAGTACCTGCATTGAATGATTATAGGGTAATGAACAAAACTAATTTATTAATAACAAAGCACACAACATGTAGAAATCATAGTAAATGTTCAATATGTCTACCTTCAGACATTACGCATGCGTTTAGACGTCGGCGCATTGAGCCACATATTCGCTCAAATATTTCTGGAGTCTCTCTGATTACCCTGCACGCATCGATGATGCGGTTTCTTAAGCCCTCTACATCGCGAACAGGAGTACGATAAACAAAATGCTGTAAATGGCCCAAATAGAGAAATCGAGAGGATTGAGATTCGGGGATCGAGCGGGCCAGTTCTGAGGTCCTCCTCGACCTATTCTCTGAATTGCATATGTTAAATGCTGACGTGCTACTTGACTAAAATGGGCGGGAGCCCCATCATGCATAAAAAACATATCCCTTCTGACGCTCAAAGGAACTTCCTCCAGCACTTCTCTTAAAAATTGAACGTATGCCTCACCATTTAATCGAGGAGGTAGAAAATGAGGCCCAATTGAATCATTCCCAATAACTCCGAGCCACACGTTAAGAGAAAACTGTTCTTGATGATTAGTTTCGATAATAGCGTGAGGGTTTTCATCAGCCCATATGTGGTAATATGAAAATTAATAATCTTGTCCCGAGAAAAACTGCATTTGTCTGTGAATTCTATCGTCTTCAGAAAGTCATAATTTCTTCCGATCATTTCCATCCAGTTGCATCCAGTTGCGAAATTCAAGACGGTTCGGAAAGTCTTGCGGTAACAGTGCCTGTACTTGTTGCAGATGGTAAGGGTATGAGAGTTGTTCCTTTAAAATTTGAAATACCGTCATATTATCAACATTCAGCTGGAAAGCAATCTTTCTAGTACTGGTAGTGGGTTGTTCTTCAATCAAATTAAGTACTGCTTCCTCAAGCTGTGGTGTTCGTACTTCTCGATGGCGACCACAATCCTGCGTTCTTTTGTCGAATGAATCATATTCTCGTAATCGTTGATGAAGTCGAGCAAATATTCTATGTGAAGGATGCTGCCGTTGAGAATACATTTCAGCATATCTTCTAGAAGTTTCTAACCCATTTCACTGCGACGGACCGTAAACGTAACGCATATCAGCCATTTCCTCATTTGTGTATGCCATTTTAATAACAAGTGAATTATTAAAGTAACAAATTAAGAACAGAACAACAACACACAATTAGTATTAATTCAATTTCGAAAATTCACATACCAATTTAATTATCACTATCGCCAGTAGCGACTTACTAGATAGATTAGTTTCGTATTTTCGCATTTATGACAATGTATCTCTGTAGTTGTTCCTGAAATAATTTTTTGCTGAGAACTGCTTTATTTTGGGCAAAAAACCAAAGAGACATTTTTTGTTTAGAATGAAACAGGCTATCGGAAATACATTTTCAAATGGTAAACAAATAATAAGACAAAAAGTTACATTGGAAATAAATTTTACGGGTTGCGTTTTCAACCTCTTACAACCCCTTACTGAGGTCGGTCAGTTTAGTTCTAAGACCTCTAACACTTTGGCAATAAAGTCAAGGTCTGTCCGCTTTTAGTTTTTTTTAATAATTTTTGGTGTATTGTTAGAGTATTTTATAGACAAATTCTGCTCACCTGCCTGTCGATACACTATGAGTTCATTTTTCACCGAGTCAAGCGTCTTTTTCTGATAGAGAGTTTGATCGGGTTGGAAAATATTTTGTAAGCATGACCTAATTTGAATTTCTTTCTTAGAATTTCATGCACCACGCGAGCAGAAGACATAAAACTTCAATTGGTCGATGAACATTTTTTTTTCTTTATAGTTTTTGATAGTCGAAGAAAATCAATCATTATAGTCATTTTCATCGAATTCTCAAAGATATCATTGCAATCAATTGTTAAACTGATATTTTGTTTATATTTTCAGTTCCCATTCAGCCAAGTGGTTCATACCCTAGTAAGTATTATTTTCCGATTTCTTTCAAGGTTTTTTGCTATATAACAAAACATTATTTGCATTCATTCTGGATGATGTTTCTGCAAACAAATTTTTGTATCCATTTATCAAATTCTCGATTATTCAGAAAAATATCATACATACTGAGTATCAGTGTTTGGTACATGATAGGCGGTGTGAATCCACTACTTCGTCTTAGTTTACGAATTCTACTGTGCATTTCTTCAATGTCCCCCCCCCATTTTATTTTGTGAACGGATCAACTAAAAAAATTGAAATTTCAAATAATGAAATTAAGGCATGAATACTTTATTTTGAACTGAAATTGACAGATGAAACTTTCAAGATGGCGACTGTGCTGTGACACATCTTTTTTTGAAGCTTCACAACTCTAGAATATAATGTCAATATCTTCAACTACTACAAAATGGCGGAACTTTTAATAATTGCCTGAATACATTGGCATTTAACTACATAATATGAGGTAATAAGCTTGAGGTCAACTCGGAAGATGCTCGAAATGGTTGCCTTGAACTTCTTAACATATGAACAGTCTATCCGATATTTCACGCCGAACATTTTCGAACACAGTAACGTCAATATTTCTACAAATATTTATTATTCTCTGCCGTACATTCAATATAAGCAAGTTCAATTGTTCCGTTCACCTTTTGCTTCAAATAGCCCCATAAAATAAATAAGTCCAAAGGTGTCAAATCTGGCGGGCGGGCTGCCCATTCTGTAGGACCTCAACGGCCAATCCAACGACCAGGAAAAGTAGTATCCAAATAGTTTCTCACTTGTCTGGAGCAATGTGGTGGGGCTCCATCTTATTCGAATAAAATATCCATATCGAATTCATTAGGATTTGCTTCGACGATTTTAGTGTCTGCATGACTCACGAACATGCAGAGTCATGCAGACCATTATTTTTGAGAGGAAACATTCTCACTATTACTTGTATTTTCATACTTGAAACTGTATGCCTGATTTACAAAAAACATAACATGGTTGGAACTCCGGAACCTACAAATTACATAACCCGGCAAGTAACTGAAAATAAAATACATATTTCTGTTCCAAAAACAAGCCAGACGAAGTATTCTTTAAATTATGCAAGTAAAAAGCTGTATAATCACATACCTTCCGAAATTAGGAAGGAAAAAAGTTCAGAAATCTTGTTAAAGATGCCCTTGCAACTGAAGCGTACTACAATCTTGATGAATATTACAATGGAACTTTTTTGTGATTTAAAATAGGTGTTTTTTTGTTGTTCATATTAACATCTATACTTCAAATTATGTTTTATACTGGGATATATCTGTATCTGTAGGGTAGGGAGGGTGAGTGTAAGCCCACGCACTTAGGCCACATGTGACCCATTGTACATCCTCCCGAGGAGTTGTCCACCTAGGTCATCGTCCATCCTGTCCTTTCCAGGAAGGTGGACAGGTCGCTGGGAGACATCTCCTTTATATCTGCAGGCGTAGACCAAGACTCGCCGAATACTTGACGATAACTCCAGGCACTCGCACAGGACATGCCTGACAGTATCATCTTCCTGTTCACACATCCTGCATAGAGGTGTGTCCACCAGCCCCATATTATGGAGGTGTTTCCTTAGTTGACAGTGACCAGTCAGAAATCCTACTGTTAGGCGTAGATTTTTCCTGGTCATTGCCAAATATTTCTTCGGCGCCAGCTTCCCAGGGTCACCCAAGGTGATCCTTGCAAGATTACATCCTTTGGTTTCATCCCATCTCTTTAAGGATTGAGCATGGGTGTAACACTTGACTAGTTCTGCAATTGTCGAAGTCATCAGGCCGTGGGTGCCACTGGGTCCTAAAATTCTTAGTCCAGCAGATTCCTTGGCTGGAAAGTCGGCAATGCGATTACCTTTACTCCTCTTGTCCCTTTAATCCACCTCAGGATAATGTTATTATCTACCGATGCTTTGGCTAAATCTTGGTGACACTCTAGTACTAGCCCAGAGGTTATACGTTGTCTGTTCAAGGCTAATAGGGCTTGTCTGCTGTCACTGCAGATTGTTATGTTTTTGTCAGAAATTCCTTTCTTGGATAATTCTTTTGTGGCGATTGAGATACCAGCCAGTTCTGTTTGGACCACGCTGGTGTTTCTTCCCATTCCCCACTTAATTCTTAGGCTTAGTGATCTGGAATACACTCTACACCCTGAGCCTTCTTTGGTTTTTGAGCCGTCTGTATAATTCCGTATTGCATTTATATCACCTGACTGTATGTTCTGCTTCATTTGCATTTTTTAGAGTTTATTATACACAAACCTGGGTTCAATTGCATCGCTTGTTGCCTGCAGCAGAGGTTCCGTAGTAAGCGCTTCCCGCCACACGCCTAGCCTCAATTGACCCATTCCTACTTCGAGGTTTACACCAGCCGTGCGCAATCGTACGATGGCCATCAAGGTAACCTCCTTCACGTACAGATCAAGAGGGGTCAGGCCCGTGATTGATTCCATTGCCACGGTTGGTGTTGTTCTCATGGTTCCTGTGATGTTTAAACAAGCCATTCGCTGTATTTGGTATAATTTTTGGATGGTCGTTGCTTGTAGAACTTTCGGTCCCCATGCAATGGCTCCATACGTTAACATAGGTCTTATTATTGCAGTGTAGATCCAGGTGACCACACGGGGTGAAAGACCCTATGCGCGTCCCACTGTCCTCCGACATTGCTCATAAGCAACGTATGCTCTTTTTGCTCTACTCTTTAGATAAGAGTTCCATGTTAGCTTCCTGTCGAGGATAGTACCAAGGTATTTTACCTCTTCAGAGAAGTTTAGTTTGCTTTTGAAGATTTCAGGAGGTTTCAAGCCCGTTGAACTTCTTTTTCTGGTGAAAATGACCATCTCAGTCTTCTTGGGATTGATCGACAGTGAGTGTTCCTCACAAAACGTTTCTATCAATTTGAGCCCATCCTGCGCTCTATCGCACAGTGTGTTTACAAATTTGCCGGTCTGCAAGATAACTATGTCATCTGCGTATGCAATTGTGTAGAATCCATTTTTGTTAAGGTGATTAATCAGGGTATCCAGAACTATGTTCCAGAGAAGGGGTGATAAGACTCCTCCCTGTGGACATCCCCTCATGACCAGTCCTTTCACTGTGGTGTCTCCTACATTAATACTTACTGTATCCATTCTCCTACTACCAGGGGTACATTCCTGGAGTGTAGTTGCTGGGTAATTGTTGGAAAGGTTGTTTTATCAAACGCTCCCTCGATATCTATGAATATACCCAGGGTGGATTCTTTATTGTCCAATGATCTCTCGATTCTGCCAACCACATGGTGAAGGGCAGAATCAGTAGACCTTTCCGGGGTATATGTATGCTGATTTGGATGAAGTGGATTGTAAACTAGTACTTCATCTCTTATGTACCGCTCACATAGCCTCTCCATGGTTTTTAAGAAAAACAATGTGAGACTAATTGGTCGGAATGCTTTTGGTATGGTGTAGTCCATCCTACCTGGTTTGGGTATAAATACTACTCTTAATTCTCTCCACTTACTGGGTATATACCTCAGAGCTAGAGAGGCTCTGAATATTCCAACCAGATGCCGTATAAGAGTGTCCAGTCCCCATTGAAGTAGGGCTGGTCTTTACCGTCAGGTTCTGGTGACTTGAAGGAGGAAAAGCTCGATATAGCCCATCTTATTTTGTCATCATCAATTACTGCACTAGCAGATAGCCAGTCGTATTGTGAGGGTGTTGTTGGTACATCCGTCCAGTTCGTCGTTTCAGGAAAGACAGAACCTGGGTATTAATTTAGGCAAGTAAAAAGCTGTATAATCACATACCTCCTGGAATTAGGAAGGAAAAAAGCTATATAAAGTTCAGAAATCTTGTTAAAGATGCCCTTGCAACTAAAGCGATATACATATGATGAATATATACATATGATGAATATTACAATGGAACTTTGTTGTGATTTAATATAGGTGTTTTTTTGTTGTTTATATTGACATCTATACTTTAAATCATGTTTTATACTGGGATATATATTATTTTATTGTCATGGCACGTGAACTTATGTTCAAATTGTATATATTTGTTATTTACATCTTTTGAAAGGGAGTATACACACTTTTTATCTACAATTTGTTAAATTTTATTTTCTATTGTTATATTTTATCTATTAGATATGTGAATTCAGTTTTGCTCAAATTGTGTTTCTGTGTATTTGTGTTTTTGAATTGTTTCTTTTCTCTTATTCTTTGAAGTGCTATATATACCAGATGTTAAAAGAAGCTTTGTCAATAAAATTGTATTTTCTTGGACAATGAAGTATATGTCTATCTATCTATCTATCTATCGGGTTGTTGGAATCGCCATATGGCAGATAAAAAGGAATATTTCTAGAAATATCGATATTGATGTGTATGTCTTCAGAAAATTATCAAATGTTCCGCCATTTTGTTGCAGGTGAAGATATTGACGCAATATTCTAGGGTTGTGAAGTATTCGTCAGGAGCTTTAAAGTGATGTATCACAAGGCCCCTCTTTCCATTTGATTTTTTTTCCAGATGGCGCCTAGTCGCCATATTGAAAGGTTCATCTGTCAGTTTCACTTCAAATCATAGTTTTCATGCATTAAATTCATTATCCCAAATTTAAATTTATTGAGTTGACCCGTTCAAAAAACAAAAGGGGGACCATTAATTAAAAATTAGATTGAGAACTGTGGTTGAGTGTTTTGTAGGTTCAGAGTTTGTCGATATTTTTGAGCATCACTGATTTATAAAGTCCAATGAAAAGATAACTTCTAAACAGAAGAAGCTTTTTCATATTTCATACATTATAAAATGTCATGAATTAACTCATATTATTATTATTGACAGGACAAATGATAATTTTGCGGTGATACATAATCCCGAATGGACAAAAATTATTCGAAAAACTTTTCTGGTACCTTCTTTCCTATATCATTATTCTATTTTTTCAGTGTTGGCAAGCGTAAGTGGAGGATATCCGGGTGCAGCTGGATTTGGTGGAGGATATGCAGGTTGGTTTATATTGAGAATAATTCATGTATTGGATTTTTTTAATAATCGAGCAATTTTTTTGCGCTGAAATGAATGTGGAATCAAAAACAGAGTGTGACAATCCATAAATTGAGGTACATAGTTCGAAATAACTTGTCTAGTTGAAGAACTCCAGACATCACCAGAAGTTAGCAAATGAGACTTTGTCGAAACGTTGTGAAAATAATTCTTATGAGGTAGCCAAGCGGTTCGACGTGGGTGCTTTGTTCACTCACTCGAATTGACTGCCGTGTTGGTCGATGGTTCAAGCCCCAGTCTGAACAATCGATTTTCACTTGCTTTCGTCCAACCCGTGTTAGGAATCACACGTTAAAAGGTAATACCTCGTTAATCCCTACCTCGCACAAGTTTCGACTTCTGAGGGTTGTCGTTCGTAGGGGTGCGACAGACATTTGATCCGTGTATGTGATATTATCTTCAATCTCACCGACGTTTCGACAAAGTCTCATTTGTCATCATCTGGATACAACTGTTAAGTGTTCGGAAGTCGGTCGACCCTAATCGATCCGCTTCCTACTATAATGGTAAAAATGGTGTTTATTACGTGTTCAGAAGTAGAATATCCTCAAACGCTACTATTTTAAATGTTGTTGTTGATTTTCACCTGAGTTCTTCTTCTTCTTGATTAACCTCTTCTTCCTGTAGAGGTATCCAATGTTAAATCTAAAGTTCTCACAGATAGGACTATGCTGAACTGGTTTTCGGGTATTTGATCCGTGTATGTGATCTTATCTTTAGTTTTACCAACATGTAGACAACATCTCATTTGTCATTATCTAGGTGTGCTGTTACGTGTTCGCAAGTCATTTGATCCTGCTCGAACCGTTTCTCACTATACTGGTAAAATGGTGTTTGTTACGTGTTCGGAAGTAGAATGTCCTTATCCGCTCTACTGCCTACTGCGGTTCGAGCAGGGTCAACCGACTTCCGAACACGTTACAGCACACCTAGATAATGACAGATGAGATTTTGTCGGAACGTTGGTGACGGGAAGAAGAGGTTAACTAAGAAAAGAATAACTCGGGTAAAAATCAACAACAACAGTTAAACAGCAACATTGCAGTCCCTAAACTTTTTCCATGACAGCGAATTCAACAATATATGTAAACTTGTTCACAAATTGCTTGTCACCTGTGATGTAACGCCTCCCATTCACGTATGACATTAGCAGTTCTTTATTGATTGTTCGATCCAAGGTCATCCATCGAAGTTCTATTATAAAATCAAATTATTGAGGTGTCTTGTGAATGGACATTGTTCATTGTGCAGCACTGTAATCATCTTGATACGATCTTTATTGCAATGAAGCATTTTCCACTTTTTCATAGACTCCCAAAAGGTTTTTCCTACTGATATTTCAGGTATATTTTCACATTGTATGTTTTTCATTTGCCCAATCATTTAAGAACATTCACAAAAGCTCAAGACCCTGCATAGAGTTAATAAGTAATAAGCATACTATACAGTTCTTTTCGTCATATCTGAGTTTCCTGGCACATAGCTCCTGAGGAGCACTCAAAGTTGATGAGCGTGAGCAATGATATAAAAAAAAATTATTTCATCACAAGCAAAGAGTAAGAAAGAAATGGATTATATATCAAAAAATATTTGCTGCGATGACTCAGTTATTCAAAAAAAAAACAAAATCACTACAAAACTACTGAAATACTGAGCTGAGTATATAGATCATATTTTTTCGGCAAGGGTCAATATTTCACAATTTGACTAGATTGTTATTAGTTATGTGACATTTTATCTGAAGGAGTTGTATTTTATTCACAAGAAACGGAGTTGGTGAAAATTATAAACTCATTCAGATCTCTTCTGGGTTTACTATTCAACTATTGAACCAGAAGTTGATATCGATGAAAAAAAATAAAGCTGCAAGTGAGTGAACTCACAATAATTTTTATTTGCAGCTCGATTGCCTCTTCCACAAAATCGTATATATTCATCAGGTGAGTCAGTTAATTTATGATGGAAATTCAATTTGGCTGTGAACCTTGTACAAATGTTGTATACTGAAGGTATTTTGGACTATGTCTGAAATTTAAAAATATGGTTGAATATTCACTGACAAATTTTTTTCCTAGGAAATATTGAATCGAATTGAGTAATTTGATTCAACTTCAGTTATTTCGGCACATCGAATATTAAAAAAGATGAAAATGACTTAAATAATAACATACATACATATATAACAAGAAACGTACATATACGGTGTCATCCCCAAAGTATGCACCATAGGGGAAACTTATTTATTAAGGGTTTTTCGACGAAATGTTATTCCTGATAGAAGTTTGTGTATCCCCTGAAACTGCACATGCACCAACGATAAATAGACAGCACCCTGTATATGACGAATAATTTCAAAAGCCTGTAATATTACAAATTACACAACTATGGTGTTAACCACGGTCAATTGTTTTGAAACGTAAATTAATTTTCAAAGTTTTTGGTGCAAAGTTAATTTTATTTTTTGTTAACACCGAAAATTACTCAAAGTAATACAGTATTGTAACAAGAACTTAATATTCAATAATATTAAATCACAAAACATCAAAATAAAATAGAAATTTCGGAACAAACTCATTGATTTTCTGGAGATTCAACTTAAAACACTTATTTTAGGCAAGAAAATCGATGAGTTCGTTCAGAAATACCTATTTTATTTTGATGTTTTGTGATTTGATATTATTGAATATTGAGTTTTTGTTACAATACTGTATAATTTTGAGTAATTTTCGGTGATAACAAAAACTAAAAATAACTCTGCACCAGAAACTTTGAAAATTATTGTACTTTTCAAAAAAACTGACCGTGGTTAACACGACAATTGTGTGACTTGTAATATCACAGGCTTTCAAAATGAATCGTCGTATACGTCGTACCCAACTAGCAATTTCGTATTTTATAATAGTTGCGGAAACGTTTCGGAGAAACAAATTATAAAACTACATTTCTGCCAGAAATGTTTTCAATGTGTTTATAAAACTGCTATAAATAGGAAATTGGCACCGTTTTATAAAACATTATAGTTATTATCAATATTTTGTAAGGCCTTTTACAAACATTACAAAACAGTTTTATAAATATTTTGGCAGTTACTATAAAATTTGTCTAACACTCTTAAAAAGTAGTTTTGTAAAGACTTCCCTTACTGCACTTTAGCAGCATATTTAAGCGATACCTATAAAATAATCAGAAGACAGTTTTATTAGAGTTTTTTAGTAGTTCCAAGTAGGCGTTATAAAATATAATACAGCCGAAAACGATAACAATAAAATAAAAAAGTGTTAAAAATGTTTTCTTGAAGACGCAAGAAGTAATTTTGTATTGGACACTAGGAAAATATAATTGATATGTCACCAACTGAAAACTAAGAAATAGAAAGGTTGAAGCCATTTTAAAATTTCACTTTTGCACTCATAAAACTGTTAAAGATTTCGGAGATTGATATTTTTACTGCAAATGAAATTTTATTGACAAATATATAGCCTATTATTAGCAAAATTTAAGCGCGTCACTCATTTATAAATGTTTTCGGTAAAATTATTATTTATACAAAAATTCACTCTGTCGAATATATAGCCTTATTATTAGTAAAATTCAGGTGCGCCACTCTTTTGTTGAAATTTTTGGAAAAAATTATTATTTATACAAAAATTCACTCTGTCGAGGTATTAATTCTCTAGTCACAAACTTAACTCACTTTATTCTAAATAATATAATGTTATAATATTTATGTATTTTTCAGCTGTAAATATCACTCACTATATGTGCGGTATTTCATATTTCAAACTCATCTAATTTCAGTATCCCGGATCGCTATAATTTAAAATGGCGTCGTTCTATAAAATAAATTGATATCAGTATCAAGCATTTTAACGTATTTTAGCTACTATGTTACTCCTATAAAACTGTTAAGAAACACTTAGTTCTGGGAGTGATGGTATTGCGGCAGAGTCGGACTACTTTTAAAGCTGTAGGTTTCTACAAAAGTGCTTGTATGAATTAAGGATTCCTCACATACAGTTTGGATAAATATTATCTGTCTGAATGTTTTGCCTAAAGAGTTTCTTTCAAAGATCATGAAGGCTAAACGACGGGTTTTAACCAATATAATATTTTTTTTTGTTTTTGCCAAAAAATTGAAGCTCTAGATTAGGTGGGACAGATTTAAGTGTTTTTTTTTCAGTATTTACAATATACAGAGCGACTCAAAGCTTTCAGAAAGTTTTTTTATGGAACATCAAGTCATTTCTTCGTCTATTTGAAGCACCTCGAACTGAATCTAAAACTATTATATACCCCCTAATAAATGTTCAAAATGGCCGCCATTGAGTTATTATTTATTTTTATTGAAATATTCGGGATACAAACAGAAAAATCCACTACAGTATCCAGACAATGGAATTATTATCAAATTGAAAGTATAACATGTGTATACACATATATATGCATATCATAGTGTCTAAAATTAAGGATAGAGTGATAATATTGAATTTACTTATGGGGTACCTATACTCAATAAAAATCAAATATTTAGAAGTTGCTGAAGAACTAATTTTCACCACGATATCGATGGTGTCCCACTAAAATAATTGAACAAAAATATTCTTACTAAACATAACTAAAATTTTCAAGAATTTTTCAAAGCTGTGATTGGGAATCGATGTAAGCTGGTTGTTCTTAAATGCTGCATTTTATTCTTGGTAGCAGCAAACATATACTAGCAAAAGCAATTTGATTTTATAATAGTTATATTAATGTTTTTGAATTGCAGCTGATATACCATACTATAAAATAGTTGGGAAATTATCATTGAAGTGACAATATGGTAATGAAAATAAAATCAAATCTGAAAGCATTCCAATAAAATAATTTCATTGAAGCTACAGGAAACAGTTATAAAATAAGTTCGAAACAGTTTTATAACTACCATAAAAATCTCGCAGAAAAGTGTTATAAAACTGCTACATAACAATGTTACTTTTATAGGAAAATAAGTTTTATAAGTTAGTTGAAAAAACGTTTCTGAGATCATTTCCTGACTATTTTATAATGGTTTTTTAATTTTATTTCATAAACGTTTCTATGACAAATTTATAAAACACTTTTATTGCCTACAACTGTATTGTGTTCACCGATCATCTGAAATAATCAATTAGCATTTTGGAAGTAATCATAAAATACTAATAAAATAAAACTGTTGCAACACCATGGAATTATAAAACAACTTTGCTGGTTGGTATTTATCGTTTTAGCAAAATTTGTTTTTCGTAGTCCCCATTTAAAAAAAAATTGGCAGATTTGAAGTCACGGCCACTTAGATGGCCATGACTTCAAATCTGGATGTATTTTTGCCATGACCATGGCCATGATTTGAAATCTAGATGTATTTTTCAATGCTAAACAACTATTCTGAATAAAATTTCCCGACATTTTTCAAAATATGACTACTTTACTCCTGTCACAAAATCAAATATTTGAAGGCTCCTCGTATATTACGTGTTTTAGACTTTCACGGCTGAGGTTTTCAGTGTCATTTCTTCTCGAGTTTGAAAGCCGTGGATTTTTGTAATTTCTTCCTGACGTTTCGCTGGCGCGAATGACTAGCTTCTTCAGAGGTTCAACCATCATGGCTTGCTGTCCGATAACTACCTTTTCGGCTTCGTAAAGCGTATTTATGCCTTGTCAGGTAATCAGTTGTATTTGTACCTGTATTTGTGCCTGCATTTGTACCTGTACTCGTTCCTGCACTTGAATTTGGAACATTAACAATCTTGCTGCGTGTTGTCCTGTTCGTTATTCTCGAATTCTTTGAAATGGGGTTCCATATTTGATTGAGATGCACCGCTTCTTCTTTTCGGTTGAAATTCTCCGTGTGTTTGTGAATTAGTTCTGTGTTTTCAAACAAAATTCTGTGGTGTCCTTCACTAAGTGCGTGTTCCGCCACAGCTGACTTGTCCGTTTGGCCTAGTCTGCAGTTCTCTTTATGCTCTATCAGTCTTGTTCCCATGGATCGTTTGATGGTTCCGGTATATACCTTTCCACAAGTGCACGGTATGCGATAGACCCCTGCTGCTGATAATGGGTCTCTTTTGTCATCAGCCGACCTGTGGCTTTGTTGAATCTTCCTCGTGGGTTTGAAGACTGTTTCGATGTCGTGTTTGCCCAATAGTTTTCCAATTCTGTCCGTGACCCTAGGGATAAAAGGTAGATGAGCGCGTGCAAGCATCTGATCTTTTTTCGCTTTCTGAACTGTGGTGCTCTTCGGTTTCATGGCTTTTCTGGTCTCGGAGGCACTGTATCCATTGGATCTCAAGGTCACTTCAAGGTATTTCAGTTCCCTCTCCAGATGTTCTAGTTCACAAATTCTCCGAGCCCGTTCCGTTAGAGTGGAGATAACTCCTCTCTTTTGGCTAGGATGGTGGTTCGATAGTGCGTGCAAGTATCTATCTGTGTGTGTGGGTTTTCGATACACTTTGTGGGTTAGTCTGGTACTACATCGTTCTACTAGTACATCTAGGAAAGCTATCCGTTGGTCTTGCTCAATCTCCATGGTGAATTCTATGCTCGGGTGTTGGGCGTTCAAGTGGTTCAGGAAACGGTTCAGGGCGTCTCTTCCATGTTTCCAGATGACGAAGGTGTCATCCACGTAACGTAGCCATAAGGTCGGCTTCAATTCAAAAGTGTCTATCGCCTTCCCTTCAAACCGTTCCATGAAATAGTTTGCTATCACTGAGCTAAGTGGGCTCCCCATCGCAACGCCATCTAGTTGCTAATAGAAGTTTGGATTTCCCCCCCCCCTTGAAAGTAACTTCCTGTGAGACATGTTCTAAAGAGTTCGACGATTGTGTTCGGGTTTTATCTCCGTAACCAATCATTTGTTAACCTGTTATTCAATTCATTTTGGTTAATCTAACCATTTGTCAGACTTGGAGTTAACTTTCAA